GGCTGGGCCCGCCCGGGCCCGCCGGGCCGTTGCTGCGGTAACGAGCGCGAGGCGTGGCCGGCGTGAGGGGCGCGGCCGCCATGGTGGGCGGGCCGGGCGGGGCGGTGCCGTGAGGGGGCGGCAGCCGGGAGCGGCGCCCCTTCCCCTCGGGATTGCCTGTTGGGATGCGTTGCCAGGGTCTGCTGGTGGCGTGGCGGTGGGCTGCCTGCCGGGCCGGTGGGGGAAAACAGCCTGTTCAGTGCTGAACAAACAGCGCGGCTCACTTACGCTCCTCTGAAGCCACAGCTTGTTCCCAGTGTCTGGTTCACTCATGGAACACACTTGCGGTAACCGGTCTTAAATTTTGTGAGTTTCCGAATTGCTTTTTAATTCGCCCGTCTTGAATTCTCTGAAGAGTGTGGATGAAGCGCGTCCTGACAGAATGACCTGCAGGGGTACCTGCAGTCCTTTTTGGTGCCAACAAAACCACCATACAGTAGCCCTGCCTGTACCCAGTCAAACATTTGCCATAAACGTCTGTCAAAATGAGTTTGTTCTTTATGACAGTGTGACTGGTTTTTCTCCAGTTGTTTATATTCCCTTTCAGCTCTTGATAAGCGCTAGTTTGTGATCCAAGGTAGCAGCCTTCAGTTTATTATGAAAGCTACTTTTAATAATTTTGTTACCATAGCTAATGAATTACTCCTAATTTTAGTTTACGTGAGTGCTATTTAGATAATCCCAGAATAATGTATATTTAGCATAGCTTTGAGAATTGCTGTCTAAAAGTGTTAATTACTGTCTTCCACCTGTGCAATGCTTAGTGAAGTCTGAGCTGGGACCACCAACTGTTAGTTCCATCACTCTTGTACAAACTTCCTGGATGAACATTTTACCCCACTGTATTCCTGTCTTGTTTGACTTGGACACACCGTTCTCCAGATTTCACAGTTTCAGCATTGTTCCTAAAGCTAATAGACCTCTGTTTCTCACCTGCCTCACACTTAAATGAACTGAAGTTGGGCTGGTCCAAGGATGATTACCTAGCCATGTATGAATTTGGGCACTATGGGCCTATACCTTATGGCTTTTTTATTTAGGAACATTTCTTACCTAGCCAAGTGCATGCTGTTAATATAAAGTTTCAGTGTTGCTCCTGACATTATTAGCCTTTATTACTTGAGCTCATAACTTTCAGTTAAATCAATTGTCAATTTCAATCAACTTTAAATACTTTAAAGTTTCAATCAACTTTAAATAAATTTTCCCAGGTCCTGGAGTTTGGTAAATACAAGTTAAACTAATCTAAACAAGTCCTATTTTCTAATCCATAATCTTTTGGTGGGCTCTACAGCTGGTCTCTTCTGAATCTTTAATTAACACAGATAATGGGTACATCCCCCTGTAGCTGGCACTAGCTCAGAAATGTTAGATATCTTCTTCATCAGTGACATTCTTCTAGACTCATTAGCCCTATTCCTTTGTTTTACACTTTCACCCACCAAAGACTAAACGCCTGTGACATTTACTGGCAGAATCCATACCTTAATTGATCTCTTTTCCAATTAATTTAGAGGTTTTGAGAGATGTGAACTATGCTATAACCTATCTTCAACCTTTCCCACTACTGTCCACCATCAGTTGACCAAGTGTGTGTTTCAGGGAAGCACAGTGATTTTGGCAAGTCCTAATTTTCAGTTCAAACTGATGGTTTTTGGCAGCTACAAACAGGAATGTGGCCTCATGGCCCAAAGTAGTGCAGGTCAGATGCTTCTGGGTCCTCTTCTGGGTCTGATTCAAGAGGCTCTGTAGAAAGAAATGCTGGCAGCCAACCCACCATAACTCTAGCCCAGACAATTGTTTTGAAATATTGCTTCCTAAATGTCTGACCTAGCAAGCCATAGAGTAGTCATGGATTGAAAAAAAGTTTCAACAATGATTTACCCTATTTTTAACACTGTGAGCTTAGCTGGAGACCATTAATTATGGTATTTCTGCATTTTCCAGCTCTTCATGGGTTTCCTTTTAACTCCAGGCTACTTGGTTAAACTTGGTTAATTCCAGGTTCCAAGGGGCACAGCAGCAGCTTCAAGGTGACAGTTCCCTGCAGTCAAACAGAAGGGCAGAATGTTGCCAACAAAAATCTGTTGCTTTATTTTAGTGGTAACAGAAAGTCCATCCTGGGCAGTTCAGTGCTGGGTTAAGAGGCAGCTGAAAAGTCTAGCTCAGGGTTGGAGAGCTACTGCAGCTTATGAGGATGTTCTAAAGGAGCACAACATTGACAAGCTGGTACTAATAACCTGACTCAGCTACTTCTTGTGGCAGGTTTCTGACTCCCTGGGCTATGGCTGGCATTGGGCTGGTTTTAAGAATGAGAGCAGGCTAGTTTCAGGGGTTGGAGAATGACAGTCAGACAGGAATCTTATTGGAAGGGGAACTGAAAAATAGTTTGGAGATTGTTGCCCTAATGGATCCAGTTCCATTTCTGCCTGCAGTTCATGGAACTTGAAGGAATTTTATCTTCTCTAGGTTGCTTCTAATTTCTGAATGGTAGTTCATACTTAAGTAAAATTCCTTAGATGTAGCTTTTTCATAGGCATGCCAGAATTGTATTCTATGCATTGTTTGTATAATTTATACTGTTGCACTTATAAACACAATGTAATGTAATTAAATTACTAATTTGCATTACTAATGTAAACAAATATTAAGGTCTGGCAGGTCTGATTATTGTTATAGTGCACAGATTAGTTTTTTTGGCTTTGTGTGCTTGCATAGTTAACTTTATAGCAAAGAGTAATGACTGTACTAACTAGGAAAGGTCAGATTAAGGTGGCAGAATGAAGAGAAGGAGACTGGGTCATGTCAACTATTGCTAAACCTCTGTTGGTCAGCCCAACCCTAAAAAAGCCTGGGTCCAATGAGGAATGCTTGAGGACATGGGATTTGAAAGTAAAAAATGAGAGAGAGAGAGCGAGAGCGAGTGCGCACAAGCTTCTTGAAATATTCTTGTCTTTCTAACTCAAAAATTAAGGTGTATCTTTGCAGTGTTCCACTTGGAAAACGTTCACACCTGAGAAAATACCTGTCAGCTGTTGTATACAGTGTCTGCTGATGAACTTAGCAAATTGCTTGTTAATCCTTGTAGCTGGTCCAGTGTCAATGGAAATACTGGTGTGCAAATTCATGTTATTGTTCAATTAACTAAGCATAATGTACCAGAAAGTCAGGCCCATTACATAGGCCTCCATTAACAGTGTTTCAAAAAATGTTTGCTTTGGTGGTTTTTCCATGCCTTGCAAACATTTACTTAAAAGCATCTGTTGACTGTTATGTAATATTTGTTCTAATATGTACATGCAAGTCAGCTGTAAACATTTTATCCTCCCTTCAGTGGATCATCAGCATGACTCTTGCTTTTACATTTTATGTGTGTGTATATATACACACACACAGACACACGTATATATGAAGTCTTTGGTTTTGTGTGTCTTGGAAAACACAGTAAATCAAGAAATTATCAGTAAATTTAAAAATATATTAACAGATAGCATTTGAAAGGTTTTTGCTTTGAACTAATTTATGTGAAGGCCAAACCTTGGCTCTCCAATATCGAAACAAGAGAAAGCTTTGATTTAAAAACTTAATTGCCTAGACTTTCTGACCACTTTGTGCAGATCATTAGGTTTCCATGCAATTCCCCATATTAAAATACAGCAAAGAGTTTTATTTCATGTATTATTTCGAGTGACTTTGAAGCACTAGGGGGATTACAGAAGCTTTTTGCAGTGCTTTGCATAGAGGAGTGAGGGAAACGGGAACTCTATTGAGGAAGTGTTTCTTCTTTGTCAAACATGTTATTAAATATAGTATTTCAAGTCATGTTTCACCATCTTTGTTGGTTATTACAGCTTGGAAGGTCTTTAGTGTCTCAGACTTTTACTGGCTGTGTAATATGACAGGCAGGACAAGAGATTACTAGCATGTCAGTTATTGATTTCCTCTTGGATGGAGCAGGATCATGGCTGGTTCCAGGCACAGTGAGGACTACCTCTCCCACAGAAACATGTTTACCTGTTCCAAAACTTCTGTTGTGTCTGTTTTCTAGATTGTGGATTTGTTGAGATTTTTTAAACATCCTTTATAAACATGACTGCTCTGGTATCTCTAAGGTGAGGATGTAGGAGCTTCTGAAAGATTCAGAAAGAATGTAGGAGAAAATGAAAGCTTTTTCTCTTGCTGTTAGTCTGTATTGTGTCTGAGGTGCTTATCTTTCTTTATCTAAGCACAAGAATCAGCAGCAGAATCCTGAAAGTTAATATCAAGAGGTCTTCAGCATTTATACTAAAAGAGGTTACTTTACTGAAGCATTGCAAAGACGTATCTTCAAACATTAAATTTATAAAGTTTCTGGAGAGCCAAAGTGTGCCTGAGGGGCTCTGTCTGAAAAAGAGTTCAGCCTGAGCAGATGCATCGCTGTCCTAGTGCATAGATAATATGGGTGGGTGGGTTTAAATTTGTCAATAAAGCAAACATGCAAAAAGTTATTGCAATTATTGCAACGCTTCTGCACATCCTGTGTCAGAGGCAACTTTTTGGTACCACTGACTAACAGTGGAGCCCTTAAGGAGGGACTGTAAAATGACCTATTTTATTACTTGGTAGACTCTCCAGAGGACATTAAATTGTATCTTGATGGAAACTTTTGTACTGCAAAATATTTTTTTCATAATGGAACAATAAAAATAACCTCATTGTAATTGTTGCTGTTTTAACCAAGTACTAGAAGTAAGATGTATGTTATTCAGCTGCCAACTGACTTGGCATTTGCACTCATGTTTGAAGCTAACTGTTCTTGCTAAACTAAATTGGAAAACAGAGGAAGACCTCAGATTTTCTACATTTCTGCATACTAAACCCAGACATGTCTAAAACAGTGATTTTTTTTATTGTTATAGTAAGTCTTACTTATCTTTAAAGGCAAGATACTTTT